TGCCTATTTCTCGTTGTTCGCTTTGTGTTGCCGCAGTATTCGCCACAATACGATTACTTTGAAAATAAATTAAATACTCATAAACTCGAGTGTGTCTCGAAATTTTGTAGTAACTACCGATTACTGAAAAATCGCCATTACTAATAAAACATATGATCTGTTCATTTGTGTGTAAACATCCTTGTTGTTGAATCGCTATTTGTTATTTGTATAAATATAGATAATTATTGACGAAGCAACATTAAATAGTGATCTTGATTCTAAAGTAGTTTGGTATTTTTGCAAATTTCTTGTCAGTTATTACTTAGTGAGTCAGTGGGGATCTGGGATCTGTAGAATCAGTTCATCGACTCTACGCTCACTAGTGCTAGGTTAACGAAATAAAAATACTTGAACAACCTGGCATTATATGGATCAGGAGTGAGTCCTTGCCATTTAACATACGCACAAACCGCTTATTAACAAAAAAAGTTAAATAAAAAAAGATAAGTTCGAGGTCTGGAAATTGAACAAATGCACATAAAGGCAAGTCAATAAACCTCGGACACGACAGTCGGGTATACGTAACCGTAACGACCCAGATTTATATTTGGCCAAGGACTGTCACTCCAGCAACACTCCCCAAAAACTCTTTTGGAGCTTGTATGCTGCTACAGCAACAACAACTAGATATATGAAACATGTTTGAGTATGGTAAATAAAATAGTGTCAAGTAGCAATAGCACACATAACTTTTCTCAATTTTAGACTGGGATACATTTTCCTCGCAGGAATCGAAAATAAACATCAAAGACACTGACTCAAAGAATACAACTTTTAAAAGAAATGATAGCCAAGTTCAGAGTGAAACGAACGACCCAATTTCAACCGGAAAAAGTAGCATACATTCAGGGCGTAATTCAAGCTTCCAAGAAGGAAACGAACTCTCATTTGAATATCATCTTAACATTGACACTGTTTGCAGAACGTGCTTAAAAAAAATTGATGCAAGCATTCCGAACACATCCACTATTAAATCGCATTATCAAATTTTTGATACTGCAAATCTCGCTAAGAAACTAACCTCCTGTACATCTTTAAAAATTGAGCAAACGGATAAGTATCCCAAATACTTGTGCAACAGTTGCTTCAATAAAGTCAATGATTTTTACCAATTTCAAAGCATGTGTGTGGAGTCGATGCAGCAATTTTGCCAAATGTTCTTGGTTCCAGTCAGTCAAATTACTTTTGATACCGAAGTTCCTCGAATTAAAACAGAACTTAACTGTGATGACCCACTGCTTTCTGAAGAGTTTTGTGATTCCATCGAAGACGCCAAACAATCATCATGCTTTGTTGATAACTCTAACTCAGTGATAGAAAAAGACCAGCTACCATTAGGTGATACCAACGCCTTGATGCAATGTCAGGTTGAGTACAGGGATAATAATGGTTTACTCCAACCACTTCGGCACGCACTATTCCAAGAGAAAAATGTAAGTATCACGGGTTTTGTTAATCCTGATATATTAGTACTTAATACTTATTCTACAGAGTAAAAAGGAGGGTACAATAGAAGAAAGTTTCCAAAATAAAATGGATGAATTACTAAGGCGCCAAACGGAAATTGTGAAAATTGTTGCAGAGAATAATGTTCTATTGCGAGAAAGTTTAGGGATGTCTTCTGTCTCTTCCATCAAATTCCCATTAGAAACGGATGATAAGTTGGAAGAACTAGAAGCGCGACTAAAAGTGGAAAGCAAGGCAGAAATTGTAAGCCCAAATGCCTTCAAAAATACTAAAAATCCATAAAAAAAATAAGCAATTTAAAAATTTTTAATATTCGCTTACAGGTTGGTATTCTTAGAAGAATAACTTGCGGAAAAATAAAGGGTATTGATGCCATTTTTGGAAAGCAAGTAGTTATGGGCTTCAATTATAACGGAGATAAAGGCAAAAAGCCTTTAAAATTTTTCAAAAATTTCCTAAATGCTCTATACGGTAGGCGATTACCTAAGGATCCATTTGTGAAATTGTTTAACGAACTATTTTCTTCCTTATAGAAGCCACCTACGAAGAGGGCAGAACTTTTGACGAATTTTTAATAAGTCTTCGGCAAGAATTTAAAAGAGTGAAAAATCGGTTTTGTAAACAGAAGAGTAGAAAGAACAACCGTTAGCATGTAACTTATAGTTTATATTGCACACCTGCATCTAAAGTGAGCTAACTAAAAAATCATACCGGACATAATAACTGCTTGTGAATCGTACAAATTCAACGCAATTAATACAAAAACGGGTACAACAGTAGTTTTTTAGTTAGAGTATGTAATAATAAAAAAAAAATGCATTACTTGGAGGTATGTCCTATGAATTGATTTATGCAAAAAATCGTCCTAGGTGTGCGATATGTACTATTCAGTATTAGTTAGTTGTAAGGTATTTTTATTATTTTTTAATAGATAAATACTACGAACAAAAATTTCACAGTGTTTGTAAAGTTAAGTATAGGAATAAAACCACTCCTAAAAATTACTTCACTTTACTAGACAATAAATTATTTGTGTTTGTTAATCACTCTTAACATTTGTCATATAAAAGGTAACGAATAAGGCTAGTTAAAATAGTGTAACCCACGCGAAAGTTCACAGAGATTGTAGGTTGGTTACAGGGCAGCCTTGGTAAGTAGTTATAATTCATCAACAATAAACTGCTAAAAATAAAAGTCATAATATCCAATAAGGTGTGAATACCTACTGAAATTGTAGGCATAAAGCCGCCTGTTCGACTTGAAGTAGAAGAATAGCGTGAAGAGAATTAAAATTTGTAATCAACTTTGTCCGTTATGAAGTGATACTAATTTCTATCAATTTAGGTAATCCATATTGCTTAAGAGAATTTTTAAATACAAACGACGAGGAAATAAAAAGTAGCTGTTTGTTTATATCAAATCTCTCTTTTTTGCGTTCAAAATCTCTGCGTTATTTAAACTCGTAACCTTGTGTAGTAATTGTTTACCAGCGAGAAATTTGATTTTTTTCTTATAGTCACAACCCTTTAGCACGGAATCTACTACGTCATAGAACTGTGCATATACATATAAATATGTGTGTACAAATCTGCATTATTATGTGTTTACATATATACATATAGTATATGTATTTACACAACTACAATAACATGGAAGTACTAACTGATTTTTTTATTTCTCTGTGTAATTTGGAGTTAGCCAATTTTGATACCGGCCGCAACAGTTAACTACGAAACTCGATCGCGCTCAGTACATTTTAGCCGTTGCCGTCTAACTCATCTGCAAATATACGCTCCTGAAAGGCATATCACACATACATATATATATATATAAATAAGTACATATATGCACATTGATATCGGGTATCCGAAAAATTGAAAAGCTGAGCATGTGATAAAACTTAAAGAACTTTTTACTTTTGATGTTATAACGTTTATATTTTACAAGTTACCAAAGTGTGTACGCGTTTTACATTAGATATTCGTACTTT